GGTCTCACATACGGCGGAAGCACACCGGCGAGAGACCCTACCCGTGCTTATTGCTCGCGTGTGGTAAACGCTTTGTATCTAACAGTGACCTCAAAATACATATGAATATTCACAACAATATTAAACCCTTTGCGTGTGAGTGGCCTGAATGTGGTCAACGGTTTGCAACTAAAGGACAATTTAATAGTCACATGAATGTCCACAACAACGTGAGGCCGTACGCGTGCGATTGGCCAGGGTGCGGCAAACGCTTTTTAGCAAGTGCACTTCTTAAATATCATTTGAATATTCATAATAACGTGAAGCCATACGCGTGCGATTGGCCCGCGTGTGAGTACAGAACCGCGTATTACCCGTGTGTTCACTTACATAAACTACAAGTGCACAAAATGTATGGACACAAATACCCGTGCGATTGGCCAGAATGTGGTAAACAGTTTGCAAATAAGCAAACACTCGGATATCACATTAATGTCCACAAAAATGTTAAGCCCTATGCGTGTGATTGGTATAAATGTGAGTACAGGTCAACCAATCACTCCAGTGTCCTGATACATAAAAAACATGTCCACACAAAACATATGAACACCGGCGGCCATAATAATAAAAAACTGTTCGCGTGTTTATGGCCCGAATGTGGTAAACAGTTCGCCTCTAAACCGACGCTCACTGACCACATGAATGTCCACAACAACGTCAAGCCGTATGCCTGCGATTGGCCTGAATGTGGGTTTAGGACACACTATGCGCCTAATGTTCGGCTCCATAAGAAACATGTTCACAAAATATAAATCAATTTTAATTGTATTTAATGTTTAATATTTATGATCTAATAAAACGATATTTATTAATAATTATTATGACATTGTTTTCAATAAGACATATGAGAGGCGTTTCATACAGAATATGATGTGATGTTTGAATTTATAGTTTTTATAATTTTCATTAATTACAAGATTTTTTTAAAATATTTATAAAAATTGTGACAAAAGTTATCAACAATTAAAACTTGTATTGAAATAAATGATAAAACGATTGATAAAAATGTTTACGTAATGAACAGACATTCCCTTCACTTCTCATTTGGTTTGAGTTTTGTTTACATTTTTGTAATTCAATTCAAAGTGAGACACAAAAAGTGAATCCAATTATAATAACAACGAATGTCTTCATTGTTTAAGAGCCCACTCTTGAGATGTTGTGTCAGTGACTGTCAGATGATATTGGGATCAACTGATGACGTGTCTAAACACTTAGATCTTCATATATCTGAGCCGACCATTGAGTGCCGAAGCGATGGCTGTATTGACATGTTTTGCACTGAAGAGCAACGGAACAGACATCAGATGATAATTCACGCCAAAAGAGATGATGGCGTGAATACAGCGCCGCAAACAGTGGTGAACACGACATCAGTGTTGACAACATCTCAAGAGATGGTCAGAAGGAAAGCGAGAGAACTGACGGAACAGATCCAATCACACGAACCCTTCACTAAAGAGATCTCTAAGTATTGTCTAAATAAATCCGAAAGAGAAAAATGCTTTGATTTCTATAGAAATGAATTTATTTGTCCCATAAATGAGTGCCACAAAAGTTACGAAACGGACGATTCATTTCGCGACCACTTCTTCTATTATCACTCCAGAAGAATAGATAAAGACTGCGATAAAATCATCGGTGAGAACGTTGTGATACTTATTCCGGACCGACTCCAGAGCGGATCCAATGGACAACAAATGGGACCACAAGAGGTTCAACACGATGTTAGACGAAGAATGTTTCAAACCATTCAATGCTCTGAAGGCGTGTCTGTGTTTATATGTCTTGTCAGCGATTGTCTGATGATATTTACCACAGAAGAGTGTTTGCAGAAACACTTGGATTTACATACAACTGATCCGACCATTGAGTGCGGATACGAGGGATGTATTGATATGTTTCACACGAGTAACCAATTGAACAAACATTGCCTGAAGACTCATAGCCTGAATGCGAGTGACTCTAAGTATTTGAGTGATAATCAAATGATTAACAAACTGTTTAGATGTGATGTCAATGGATGTGATTATCACACTTGTAATGAAAGTATTTTCAAAGATCACACGAATGGACACAAAAATGTTATCGAAACAGAGGATCCACTGAAGAGTACATCAAATGATAGACAACTTGAAGTACAAACATCTGAAATACAAGAAGTGATGCCAACAATGGATGACAACAACCAACACATGTTTGAGAGTTCAGTCTTCAGGTGTGGAGTCACTGACTGTCAGATGATATTCACATCAAAACAGGATTTATATAAACATTTAGATCTTCATATGACTGATCCGACCATTAAGTGCAAAACCGATGGCTGTATTGATATGTTTTGCACTGAAAGGCAACGAAACAGACAACAAATGGAGATTCACGACAATAGAGATGATAATCAAGACATGAATCCAAATCTATTACAACAATCGACTCAAGAAGTGAGTCAAAGTGTTGACGACTCGTATGACAGCAATAGTCTGAAGTTGGGATCAATTAACATTTGTGTGGAACCGATGAATACAGAAATGCAGACATTATTGAACAGCACTTCAAAGCCATTGACATCTCAATCATCACAAGAGATGGTAATAAGTAGAGCCCGAGAACTGGTCCAACAAATGGAAACGTTAGACTCCGAGGCCTTTAAGTATTGTTATAATAAAAATGAAAGAAAGAAATGCTTTGATTTCAATACAAATGCATTCATTTGTCCCATATATAAGTGCCACAAGAGTTACGAATCCGACGATTCATTTCGAGACCACTTCTTCTGTTTTCACTCCAAAAAATCAGATAAAGACTGCGATAAAGCCATCGCTCGGCCGAAGCCGTTATGCACTGGAAGTGTAATTAACCCAAATGTTGTGACACAACTCCAGAGGGAATCCAATGGACAACAAATGAGACTAAAAAAGGCCCGAAAAGAAGTGATGCGAACAATGTTTGACAAAATGAAAGGCTCGGATGGCGTGTATGTGTTTCGA